TTAAACATGAAACAACTGCAACTTCTATCCTCGTGGTAATTGTCACTGGTGTTGGCGCTCGATGATACTGTAATAACATTGAGTGGTTATAAACCTGGAAAATTTCCTCTTATAAAATCAAACTAATTCTTTATACAACCTTTATCTTTTAGAATCATAGAAATACATGGTATTTACAGAATTGAAGATTTGAATGGATTCTTCCCACCCAACCCCCTGCTCGGGTCCAAATCTCTGACGATCCAGCCGCTTGGGATATCCTCCTGACGTAAGAAGCACGATACAAATGTTATTTGTTGTTGTTATTGTTAACCAAACCAAAACCCTAATGGGTAGGGTGGTCCTAGCTTGACAGTCAGTGCCCTACATCATTCTATGCAGTTTTAACCAGTTGAACTCCACCAGTACCCCAACGCACACTCTGGTGTCCTCAAGCCTTGGCTCCCACTAATTGTGCCTAAGACTCTCTGAAATTAAGTAAGCAGGGTGTGTTCCTCCAAAGAGAAAATGTGCATTGCATTCAAACATGGGAATTTCCAAGTGTGGGTGACATGCATGAACCTTTGTCTGGTTTGGATATTCTTAAGCATGGTGACAGTTTTCTGCATGTGTCAGACACCGGGTTGATCAAAATGAATAGTATTAAAAGGCCATTCAATCATGTCTGTGCCAGAACTAGCTCCTCCACTGGAGGTTTATATCCTAATCCACTCCACTGCTCTTTCCCTTTATCGTATGATAACAAAACTGTATAAAGTATAAACATCCAGCTGTTTCTCTACTTATTTCATGCCAACGTCTCTTGTGCTACAAATGCTGAATAAAACCAATAGAAACACAGGAATTTACTGCACAAAATGGGGCTATTTAGCCTATTACGCCTGTGCTATTGTTACCCCGTTTTTTAAAATCATTCCTTCTTTTTATTAATCCCACTTTCCAGTGCTCTCTCCATATCATATAGCATTTGTACTGCTTATCTGGTTCCTTGTAAATGATTGTGTTGATCCATCCTCAATTGTTGTGTGTTATTAGAGCAACAACTTGCATTTATATAGCGCCCCTCACTCATGGTAGCATCCCAGAGCATTAAACCTGGCTCAGTTGGTGGTACTTGTAATTCTCAATCCAAAGAACAATCGAATCCAACCCAATTCAGAGCACTCCAATCCACTATCCATAATCACACCGAATATCCTTTTGTACTGCCTCTCTTTCTTATTGGCTCTCTCTTAATTGCTGTTCACTTCTTAAAGGGATACCCTACAACAACAACAAGATTTAATTTATAGAGCTCCTTTCACGTCGGGAGGACGTCCCAAGGTGCTGGACAGTTGGATCGGGACCCGAGCAGGGGGGAAATGGTCAGGGTGAAGGGAGGGAGCGAGGAGGGGGGAAATGGTCAGGGTGAGGGGAGGGAAGGGAGGGAGCGAGGAGGGGGAAGAGAGTCGAGAGGGGAGCTGAAGGTACGGTCGAAGAGAAAGGTTTTGAGACCGGCCTTGAAGGAGGAAAGGGAGGAGGCGGCGAAGGCACTGGGGGATGGAGTTCCAGAGCGTAGGGGCTGAGAGGCTGAAGGCCCGACCACCGATGGTAGGGCGGTTGGGGCGGGGGATGTAGAGCAGACCGGAGCCAGAGGAATGGAGGGTACGGGCAGGTAAGTAGAGGGATAGTAGGTTGGAGAGGTAGGAGGGAGCAAGGCCGTGAATGGCCTTGTAGGTGAGGATGAGGATTCATTGAATTCGATGCTCTGGGGGATGGGGAGCCAGTGGAGGCGAGCGAGGGTGGGAGTGATGTGGTCCTGGTGCAGGACAGTACACGAGCTGCAGAGTTCTGAATGACCTGCAGCTTGTGGAGGGAGGTGGCGGGAAGGCCGACGAGGAGAGAGTTCCCGTAGTCCAGCCTTGAGGTGATAAAGGCGTGGACCAGAGTTTCAGCAGCGTGAGGGGTGAGGTAGTGCTGTAGTCTGGTGATGTTCCGGAGGTGATGGAAGGCGGTGCCAGTTGTGGCGTGAATATGAGGAAGGAAGGACAGAACGCCGAGGTTCCTGACTGGCTTTGAGAGGTGGAGAGTGCAGCCTTAGATGCTGATGCTGTCAGTGCCTGTAGGGTTGTAGGGTATCCCTTTAAGAAGTGAACAACAATTAAGAGAGAGCCAATAAGAAAGAGAGGCAGTACAGCTCTCTCACCTCTGAGTCAGAAGGTTGTGGGTTCAAGGTGGGACTTTGAATTCACAAAGTTTGGGATGATACTTTAGTACAGTGCCAAGGTGTGTTGCATTGTTGGAGGAGCCATCCTTCAAGATGAGATGTTAATCCGAAGTCATGTTTGCCTGTTCAGGTGGACATTAAATATCCAATGGCATTCCTTGAAAAGAGAAAGGAGTTTCCCCCAGTGTCCTGGCCAACCATCTCCAAAATAGAATTGGTTATTCATTTCCTGGCTGTTTGTGGATCATTGCTGTGTGCAAATTGGCTGCTGTGTTTGCCTACAAGTACACAGCACTGAATCCTATGAAGTGCTTTGAGATGTCCTCCTGTTATGAAAGATGTTATATCAAATACAAGTATATTATTATAGAATGTTTTGATAATGAATTGCAAGCACTTCTTTGTCTTAAACCATTACAGAATCAGGCACAAGGGGATGTAGAGCAGCAGAATGAATGGTAGCGAGAAACTAGGAGATGAAAACTGCCATTGGAGAGAAACTATACAATGCCACAGGGTAGACCAAGCAAGATGACAAATCCTTATGTGGTAGAGATGAGTGTGAGGCTGGCAGTGAGACACTACGATGATGCACCCTTGAGAAATTTCTTATAAATCACAAGAGAAATTGCTTGAAGTAAACACAATCATCAAACCTTCATGTTAAAGTTAAAGCAGAGATGCAGAGAGACATCAGAGGTACCAACAACATTCAAAGTATATTCAGCTGCTGATGTCATTCTCTGGCTTAGTGGCCATTTGAACATTTGAGAAACAGGAAATTAGTATTCATACATTCTTCAACATTTTTGAGTGAGTTACTTTGGCCAAGTTTTCTTCAGAAACAAAAGCTTATCGGTTCCCCAGATGCAGCTGAATTTAGAACTACTGCTCATAAATAAAAAAATAATGACCTAACCACTGTATATTTCTTAAAATGTATCCAAGTCAGAGGTAGTTACAGGCTGTAACACAATGGTCATGTGCAGGCATTATTTTACAAACTAATGTTGCTTCCCTGTCATGGTTTATGCATCATCTGTACCTGGTGAATTTTGTTGCAGCCTTAAATTATATTCAAACCAGACTGATACTGTGCATATATTATACATAAAGAGAAATGGGCTGGATTCACTGAATATTCTAAATATTTGCTGAAATTTGCTAAAATGCCTCTTGAAGGAGTTAATCATTTGCAGTATTAAGACAGTCTGGGTCAGATGATAGCAACCTTGCATCTGAGTCAAACATTTATGGGTCCAAGTCCCACGTCCAAGCTTTGAGGTCATAGTCAGGGGCTGACAGTCCAATACTGTGCTAGGGGAACATGGCAATGTCAGAGGTGCTATCCTTCAGTCCTGTCTGCCTGTTCAAGTGGATTTTAAAGATATGATTCGAAAAGAGAAGTAAGTTTCTCTCGGTGTCCTGGCCAACAATTCCCCAGATAAATTTGGTTATTTACTTTTTGGCTATTGTGGAATATTAATGTTCACAAATTAGTTGATATGTTTGCTTACAAATGCACAGTTATTATTACATCCCCATTAACTTTGTGAATATTTTTAGCTATTCTCAACATTATAGGTCCTATATCACATGCAAGGATTTGGTGGGGGGGGGGGGGGGTGAAATTCCTCCTGGGTCTAGATTTATTGTATTTACGTAACATTTCAGAGGATGCAGATCTTGGCAAATTGTTGAATTCAACCTTAAATCTGAACTCAACTTTCTGTAGTTCTTAAAAGAACTTTTCAGAAAATCAGCTTCAACATTAAAGCTGTATGAAAGAATTTGTCAAAATGTAATGCAAATAGAGCACATCCAGACCCAGGGGGAATTTCTCCTCATTTATTTTTGATAACTTAAAGATCCGGACCACGTTTCCCTCTCTCATTAATCTTTTTCTACAAGGTTAAGTTCATTCATTAAGCCTCTTCTGACAGCTGAGGGCATCCCTGTTGCAATTCACTGAATCCTCTGCAAAACGTCCATTTCATTTTGAAGGTAGAATGGTCAAAACAACAACACCAATTTGGATTTATATACCAACAAAAACATATACAAACAAAAACATATTGAGCCCAATATTTGAAATGGGGTCTCCCAAACAAAGTACATGGGCTAGAATAAATAAAACTGGTCGTTCACTTCATGGCTATTTGTGGTTCATTGTGAACCAATTGGCTGCTAAGTTTGCTGGCAAAATAAGCAGTCACTACCCCTTGCAAAAAAATCTTATGAAGCGCTGAATCCTCCTGATGGGAAAAGCACCATATCAAATGCAAGCATTGTTATAATTATCAGTAATAAAGAATAAATAATGTTGATTCATAGACAAATAATCTCAAGATGTAATTTATAATTCATCGTGTGTACATCTCAACTGTCTCTTGTTCCAATGTACATCACTTTGCACTTATCTACATTAAAATCCATCTATTATTCCTTGATTCTTTAGTCCTGATCTTACTGAACACTATTTATCCTCATTATATTATTCATCGGTCCACAGTTAGCTATCGTGAACAAATCCTTCAGTATTACAAGATGTGCACTCCTGCAGGGCATTCTTGATAACAACAGGAATGCTACCATTCCATTAGATCAAAGTAGTAATGATGAAAGGTGTGCATTATTTATAGGTATCTGCAGGCCAGGATTACTTCATTCAACATTGAAAAGGTGCTTTTCAGGCAGATAATGTTTCAGCCCCTTACTGAACATTCAATAGATTGCTAGTAATTGAGGAAGGAGTGTGCACCTGGACAGTGCTACTGCAGCGCAGGAATTAAACATGGACCTATCTGTCTTGCCAAATAACAACCATCCTGACAAATTTCTGCAGCTAGATGTAAAAGCATTAGCTGTAACTCCTAATCTGGGTCAAATTGGGTTGCCAGGACTCTCTGGAGCAGCTCTGAGTGGTCAACACTGGCACAACCAAGTCTATTCACAGGTAAGTGGAAGGAGAGCTTTTAATGCCATGAAGCTGAAATGGGAAGAGAGTGGATGAGTTTTCTGAAAGGATAAGATGAAATTGGCCAAAAGGCATTCTTCATCTGTGCCTCTGTTGTGACTTTATGAACACTGAATCGCTGAGGATAATCGTTTTTGGAGATTAGCTTCTAGATGTATTGATGGCGTTCCGGGGGAAGGGAAAGGGAGAAGAAAACACTTTCAATTAAATAATAGAAGTGAGGCAGTCAATTTAAGATGGACTCCAATTAATTGAGTGCACTTTTGTAACTGATCTGTACATTTATTATCAAACAGCTTACGGTAAACTCTTAAATCAAATTTGTGACACCACATGAACTTTTGTAACTTCTATTAAAATAGAAATACTAGTTGAAGCAAAATGTGTTATATTGCTGAGGATCTTGATAGCCTGATCACAAATTAGTTTTTTCTAATAACATGTGTGCTGTGAATTCCTTCATGGTTCCTGAACCACTGTGGATTCAATTTCTTTCCAGACTAAGAACCAGAAAGTATTAGAAAAGTTGAGCTTGCGAATGAATGATGGCCGGCCTGCTGTCATTGATCAAGTCCTCAGTAAGCACATCACTCCTGTAACACTGAAAACCACCATCAAGAGGAATCCCCTGTTTGAAGACATACGGGAGGTCGATAACCGACAACAGAGCAAAGCTCACCCATCCTGGACCATCCAGGAGTATGACAGACACTCAGTGCATTTAAACCTGACAGATTACTTAACCAAGGTGATATATTAAAAGTACTGTAGTTAAAAGATATCAATATCCTAATTTTGATTCATGCATGTTTCTGCTTGTCTTTTTGGGTGAGACATTAAGAAGTGCTGTCTGAATGTTTCAGGTTTACATTAAAAATCAAACCAAACAAATCGAAAAAAAATGGGATCTTCTCTTGGAAACACTTCAGGAATTAAATTGATCATTAATCTGATGGGTGTTGGTGGGGATTTGTAATAATAATCATGACTGTTGTGCGCAATCGGTTGCCACATTTACCTCCACTTTACAATATATTCTGTAAAACTCTTTGAGGCGTATCAATGACGTGATAAAGTGCTATATCAAATGCAAGGATTATTATTATTGTTATTATTATCCTCCAGGTGTTACACCTTATCCTGAATCCACTCAGTGTGTATCTGTATGTGTGTGACCTGACACCACCGTGCACTCTCTACCAAGCTGTGAAATCTCATAATATGTATATATATTGTGTTTAGGAACAAAAAGGGATATCTCTCACTATCCCAAAAGGATTTAAGGTACTCATGATAAAGAGAAGGCCGTGGGCTTCCCAGCAGTCAGTGTAGGACACACTACCCTATTTCAGCAACGTATGTGTGCAATTGGCTGCCATGTTTCACCCACAAAATATACAGTCAATTCACCCATTAAAAGACCCGAAAGCTAGAATCACAAACCAGAAGTTGCAATTAATACAGTGACATGCAACGCGAACCCTGCATTTGTAGACCCCAAGTCTTTTGGCATTGAAGGCTTTGTTAGCTGATGCACCAGTTAAACATATTCTATTTTTTTGTCCTTCAATTAATTGAGAAGCAGTCTGCCTACCAATTGCAAAGTCAAAGAGCATGCAGTGCTTTATTTCCTCGTATAATTTCTTGAAGTAAATGATTGTGGCATGGTAACTTTTTTCGACCAGTTAGGCCAAAACCAAGAGCAGGTACTCTTTGCCATCTCTAGGTCTATTACCCCAACCTTGCTCGGTTCCACTGGTCCCCATGCATCAGCAGATCAAGTTCAAGAACTTTGCTCTCGCATTCAAATTCCTCCAGAGTCACAAACCATCCTATCTTTTAGGCCTCCTTCAACCACATCGACTTGAGTGCTCCCTGCGCTTAGTGAGCACCAGTCTGCTTCATACCCTCCACCCTACCCACCCCATCTTCGGTGGGCAGGTTTTAGTCATTCTGCCCCATTCTTTGGAACTCCATCAAAGAGACCCTCTGACTCCCTCCCCTTGTTCAACCACATCTCAAAGCATTCCTCTTGGACCACAATTTCGATCAGCTTTCTCCTCCGTACCCTTTTCAGCTCCCAACCCCAGTTTGGGTGCTTATCCAGGATTATTAAACAGTTTGATATGTGTTCCTGACATGAAAGGCACTGTATAAATGTAAATTGTATGTATTTAAAAAAGCTTAAACACTTGATTTCATTTGCTTCAATTTAGGAGGATCCAAACGACCTGAAATTTTGGATGGATGACATTTACACCCCAGGGTATGATTCCTTGTTAAAAAAGAAAGAGCTTGAAATGAAAAGAGCCAAATGCTGTAAAATAATAACACTGCTGGCATTGGTAGCATGTGCTTTAATCACTGTAATTACCGTTTCATTAGTTATTGTTGGACGTACTGATTAAAAAGTGCAGCCAAAGAAAGTTAATATGAAACAAATGTAACAGTCATTTTAATGTAATTTTATCCATTTTCACAATGATGCGTGATGGAGATTACTTTGTTTTACAGACATTCAAAGATTGTCAGCATCATATTTTTAAAAGAAAATGTCATGCTGACCTGTTATTAAAGCATTTTTTACAGCAGATTTGTATAAGGTGGATGTAGGAGATACAAACATATGATCTTCTGAAGAAAATAAATTGATTGCTAATGCTGTAACGACTTGTGCGCATTACCATTTAACTATTTGCTAAGTTCCCAGACCATTGTTATTATTCGTACTCAAAATGATGACTTGGATGAGACAGGGATTATGCCATGACTTGGATTTTCAATGGGTAAGACATATGATTACTGAAAGTATAGGACTGTATTTGGTTGCAAATGTTTCAATGAATTCAAGCATCTTCTCAGTTAGCTGCAGAAATATTAACTCTGCCTGTCTTACATGCGTCTAAAAAAAATCTTTCAGAGAATTCGGAGAGCATTGGTCCTACGATTATGATTTTCATTCAGGTCCAGTGTAAGCAATTAAATGCTTTCTTGTTAAAGTGCTGCACATATCAAATGCAACGATTATTATAATTGCTTTTATATTCTGTCGCTGCTGGTGGAAAAGTGCTGATAGGTTCAACTACCACTCTGAGTCACAAGTTCCATGGGGTTTGGTTCATGTCTGAAACTTTTTCTGCTAATTTCCCAGAGATTACATTCACATTCTTGGCTCGCTCTCTCATTCTTTTTCAACAGGCTAATTGCAGAATCTTTTTCTTTTTTCTCTGCCCCCATCTTTCAAATGGTCTTCTGTGTTCCCCATCCTCACCTCAGTAACAATAAACCTCTTCTTGATGATTTATCACTGACGAGACTGGTTTGGACATTTTCATACGCCCCTTGTATGTAAGTAAAACCAGTGGTTCATTGGTATGGGGCCTCTATGTTTATTCCCTCCTCAATTCTGAGCAGAGCGTGAACATCTGGATGCAATACAACACAAATGTATGGCTTCTGCACATATGGCAGCTAAAATATATTTGCATATGCACACAATTTGTGATAATAAGTAATATGTAAAAGATGTAAAATTGTTCCAAAATTCCTTTCCAACATTCCTTCTGCCTTAGTTTTGAATTATTTGATCGTACAGTAAAAGCTTTTTCCTCCGTTTTAGGTTTATTTTCTTCAGGTACAATTTAAAATTGAATGACGATTAAAAAGTACAACAGCCAATTATCAGTAAATTACTTTCAAGATGTTATCCAATACAACCTCCCAATTAGGATTGAATGTAATTTGTTCAATAGTTGGATTTCCCTCAGAATTAATTACAGTCTAAGTTCTGAGGTGTCTGCTTTCAAATGCAAAACAGTTATTAATCTTGCTTCATAATAATGTAGTATCCTAAAGCAAAGGGAGGAAGATTACATTTTTTTGTGTTTTTTTTCAGTCTGTTAACAACACATGTTGGGCTTGATTGTGGTGTTAAAGGCAATGTTGCAAAACTAATTTTCTTCTAGTTTGAGGACTGACTCATTTTTTCCCCCCAGAGGAGTGCCATACCCACCGATCACCACTGCTAACAGGGAGGAGGAGATTAAAGCACATCACTTGTGTCCCAGATAAATGTGTGTTTTTGTGGGAGATTTAAAGGGGACTTTTTCTTCTATTGTGTGTTGAAGCCATTAAAATGAAGTCAATTGGCAAATCCACATCTTTAGAAAACGGGATAAGTTGTGATTTTTCCCACGATTGCCGCCCTGGTGTGATGAAGGGAATAAACCAATCATGTAATGGCATTTCTACAGCTCTGTAATGACCATAGAAATGAGAAGCCAGTGAGCTGATTCATACAGCCAGAGGGGGAATGAAAGGAAATTGCTGGGTATTGAGCAAATGCCTTTAATGTTTTGTGGTTATTATTTATTTTAACTTGATCTGCTTGCTCTTTTCAGAAACCTGCTCAAATTGCACCAAAAGCTGTCAAGTGTAAATGAACAAAGTTTTTTTTGGTATGATTGCCATTGCTGATATATTCGGGGGTTTTTATACACATTGAATATCAAGTAATAAACCGGTTATTTAAATACCTTTGATTTTATTTTGTTGTACTTAGGGATAGTATACCTAATGCAAAGTATTGGTTAGGGATAGCATAGTTAATGCAAGGTCTTATATCTTTAACAAATAAAGACTGAAATAGCCTAAAGCCAATTTTCCCTTTAAAATGGTTAATTCAGGGTAGCACATTTACGCTGCTGATTCTGTCTCGAGCATGCACACTTTTAAGCCAAACACTATTGCAGTGCATAACCCTGATGTTTAATAGAACAGGAGCTGTAACTTTAAATTCATTACCAATTAATAACCAAGTAGTTTTAGCATTAGAAATTAAAGAGGACCATTGCTGCTTTGGGATGATTGTAAATGAAATATATATATATATATAGCTTTTCAAACAAAATACAAACAGACATGTTGTTTCAAAATGGAAGTATTTTACTGGAGGGTTTGTGACACATTAAAAATATAACAACAACTTGCACTTATATATCACCCTCCATGCAGGATAGCGTCTCAGAACACTTAACAGTCATAGAGCCTGACTCCGAGCCGGGGTGGGGGGAGGTGGCCTTAAGCACGGTCGAAGAGGAAGGTTTGCAGGCAGGACTTAAGAAAGGGGAGAGAGGGGACAAGGCAGAGGGATTGAAGGAGAGTGTCCAGAGTTTTGGGGCATAGTGGCTGAAAGCGGGACCTTCGATGGTGGGGAGGAGGGTAGAGGGACGAGCAGGAGGCCAGTGCCAATCGAGTGGAGGCACCAGGTGGTGGATTGGGGAGTGAGGTTGGAGAGGTAGGGAGGGGCCAGGGAGTGAAGGGATTTGAAAATGAGTGTGAGGATCGTGCAGTTGATCCATTCGGTGATGGGGAGCCAGTGGAGCCTGGCCAAGTGTTCAAGTTATTATGCAATTCAAAGTGTTGCAAAGTGTCTCTGTTAAGATTTCATATATATATTTCAAACAAATTAATCATAATATCTTTTTACAAGGTTAATACATATATTTTTGTAACACATTGCAAGAAACAAATGGGTGATTGTTAGCTTATCTCTACACAGTATATGTCTGTGTGTGTGTCCAAATAAAATAGTCTTCAATAAACACATAAAAGAAATGCAGTTCAATAAAGGTGACTCACATTGATCAAATATTATAAACAACAACTTTTATTGAAACTGTTTTAGTAATACTGCAGCCTGCGTCCTCTCCCCCACCAAACTCCGCGACCCAATCTCCCCCACTCTTGCCCGACTCCATTGGCTCCCTATCTTTCAGAGGATCCAGTTCAAGATCCTGGTCCTCACCTACACAGCCCTCCAATGGCCTCGCCCCACCCTACCTCTGCGACCTCCTAACCCTCTACCAACCCAACCGTTCCCTCCGCTCAGCCGGCTCTGGCCTGCTCCACGTCCTCCGACCCATCTGCCCCACCATTGGCGGGAGAGCCTTCAGCCACTCTGCCCCCAACCTCTGGAATTCCATCCCCCAGTCACTCCGCCTCACCCCCTCCTTAGCCTCCTTCAAGTCCCGCCTCAAGACCCTCCTCTTCGACCATGCCATTGGTCACCCCCTTCCCCTACCCTCCCTACTCCCCCCTGACCCCAGCTTGTGTCTGAAATGCTGTCCAGTGCCTTGAGACGTCCTCCCAACATGAAAGGCGCTATACAAATGTAATCTTGTTGTTGTTGTTTTATTGAAACTGTTATAGTGTATTTTAGCAGATGGGAATAAAGCAAGTGACTGCTTTCCACCATTATGCATTCAATGTGAAATACAGAACAGCATTAATTGTTTGGTTTCATTTTCAAAATACCACACAAAAATGTCAAAAACAAAATCAAAATTGGGGAGGTGGGGAAAGCTAAGTTCTGAGAATAGATTTGTGTATCGTGAGCAGCTAACGGCTAGTTATTTACAAAAAAAACTACAAATGGCAGACCGTTAGCATACAAATGTACATCAAAATATTGAAAACACGCAATAACATATATATAATAATAATAATCATTTAATATAGCACCTTATCATGTCTTTGAGACATCTCAAAGTGCTTCACAGAATATACTGTGAAGTGAATTTACTGTATTCTTTGTGAGCAAAACGAGACCGCCAATTGCGCACAGCAGTGTCCCACAAACAGTTGTAGATTGAGAGACCAAATTATTATTATTATTATTTTATTTTTGTGAAGGGATTATTACCCCAGGAAAAACAATCCGCCTATCGACTAACAATCGGATTCCTACTTACTGCAAGATAAACAGAGGCGTGTGGAGTAAGGAAATTTGCCCAACGTTTTGCTCTGCCGGGAATCAAACCCAGGTCCTCTTGCTTGAAGGCGAGTGCTCTAACCACTAAACTACAGGACGCCGCCTGAATACATGTACATAAGTGCTTGTATAAAGAAGACCAATGCCTAAGAATGGGCAAATGTGCTGCAGGGCCAAGAATTGAAAGCAGAACCCCAACAATGACAGTATTCAGTCATGGAACGAAAGTAAGGAGATCCTAAGATGCTCAATGTGTGTGAAAGGAAGGTGGGGAGGCAACCTCGATCAGGTGAGATAACAAAATAACAATAATAATAATCCTTTCATTTGATATAACACCTAACCCTAATCCACGTTGAGAGGATTGTTAGAAAATAAAATCGGCCATAATCCGTTTGCAACCAGATATCAGACTGTTTTATTATTATTCGTTCATTATTCCCCAACATCCCGATGGGTCAGACCAAAGGCCGGTACAATCAACAGATCTTATAACAGAATAATACCACCGTAGATATCTCGAGTTCAACACTGTGTCTTTACAGCACACAAGCTTGATTCTTCATGCTTTCAGTCTTCTTGCTTACAGCTTTCAATCTTCCATCTGATATCCTCAGTCTTAGTGTTTCTAGCTCT